GCTCCATTAGTTACATTTGTGTTAGGCATGGCAATTGCAATGATTTCAATTATGTTTAAATTAAAGATGAGAAAAATATCATATGTGCAGCATTTAAGCATCAGCTTGCATTTAATGAAATGCTAAAAACATAATTACTGGAATTCAGCCTTTTTTGTTGGAATTTCCCTTACAATAACAGAAAGGATTTCTACAAGGATTTGTTGGAATAGTGATGAAAGCAAACATTCCATGAATGTAGCTATATTATGTTACCTTCAGAAATTTGCTAAACAAGTACATAAATAAGGATAAGAAAAATGTATAGCATTATTAAATGCCTATTTTGCTTGCCTATTCCCACAGTTTTTTGTGCCTATAAATCCGCAGCTTAGTGATGACAACCTGAACTGACTGTGACAATCTTAATGGAGTAGCATCATTTTCAAAATTCATAATTCCAAATAGCATCCGTACATGAATTACACGGTAACTATTGGGTAAAACATATGGGGTCTGACCTCACACAAGAGCCCATAAAAGTAGTGGAGCAACAGAGTCGGAAGGTTAACAGGACCACGTTCTGGAACATTGATTCTGTGTCCTGTACCATTACATATTTTACTATGGTATCCCTTGGCCTAATCTCAGTGTTTGCATGATTGTATTGGCTAAAAAGGATCTTTACCTGCAGATTTTCATCAACAAATTTGAAGCTGTTTGTGAGGTGTTGTCATTTGAGTGTTTCTAAAAATGCACAATTTTGAGCTCATTTTATAGAAAAACTATTTTTTTTTTTTTTTTTTTTTTTTTTTTTTTTGAGAAACTTCATAATAAACTATTTGAAGCACTTTATAAAAATACACCCAAAATGTAAATCTTAATCCGACAATAACTAAAATACATTTGGCTAATTGTTGAAAAATCAGAAGAATACATCAAAATGGCGATTATGCAATGCTATTCAGTGCCCTTAGCACTATCCTCACAAAATGTTCACAGAAAAAATTTGGAACCACTTTTGAGAAAATATTGTTTTTAACCCATTAATACTCAGAAGGTTGACGACTTGTTGATTTTGAGAAAATATATTGAGTGAGGTCGATTGCACAATCTTGCAAAACCAGATAGTGTACAAAACACCTTACTTTAATTCTAGAACCAAAGATATATTTGATATTAAAATTTACCGTCAATCTTACAAAGCATATGTTATAAATTAATGTTGCAAATCAGTCAACACTTTGAATATTGATATATGTGAAACAGATAAATCTGCTTTTTTATCACTAGCGAGCAACAAAATCTTGAAATTTGAATGAGTAGGCATGGTAGAGCTACTGTTATACAAGATATATTTCACCTGTTGAATTTCACCTATTATTGAATGTTTTTCTTAATAAATTGTTCTATTTTCATACACGCAAATTTTTTATTGTATTCTTTTTGTAAATAATGGACTTACTTTTGTAAATGATGTATAATGTTCATAAAAAAAAATGAATGGTCAATTTTTTTGCCACCAAGCAGTTACATGAAAAATTCAATTGCCACTTACATTTAAAAAAAAACAACACACTTCCATTCTTTTCCAATCAATTATCCTTGTAGTCTAGACAATAATTTACACTTTTTTCAGATTTTATTATTTATTCAGAAATTTTATATTTATTATGTGAACGTAAAAAACTAAAAATTGTGATTTTACAAACTCTCTTTGACTGTTTACTCTACAAGTAAGATATTTAGGAATGGAATGTTTCAAAACACTTGGGATGAAGAGCTATCTTACACGTTTTGTAAAATAGCTATAAAAAGTATGTTCTGCTCCGACATACTTTTCTACTTGTCTTTTTACTTTCTTTTGACATACATATCTTCCATTGAGTGCACTGACGGGAATGGATGCAAGTGAGGGAGGAGTGCTTGGCCCTGGTCTGCGCTTTGCCGTCCTATAGATCAAAACATTTGGAGCCCATGCAATATTAGAAAATTCAAAGTTAACTTTGAAAATACAACCTATGCCCTCTTTATAAGTGTATTTCACTCTATTTTTGCAAAATAGATAAAATATTTGGAGACCTTTTGAGATGATTTAGAAAATGACCCAGATTGTCATTAATTACATCACACATGCATATTTATACAAGAAAGTAAAAAAGGGAGAAAATATATAGAGAATGATAACACCTGCATTATCATTAAGAAAGAGGACATTAAATTCAAGTTCAAAATACCACAAAACCAATTTATTAACTCTCGACCAGAAACAGAGAAAATAACATTATATGGGAGCACCTGGAAATGACTGACCCTAAAAAACCTGACGAACGTTGGAGATCATGAGTCACAAAAAGGAAATTTGTTATTAACATGTCAAGTTTTACAAAATATAATAAATTGTGCAATGATTTTATTTGAAAGTATTAAGTTGGTAAACCATCCATAAGCTAAATTACTCTAATATCTATTATGAAGTATTTGGACTATAGTGAACAACATTGCTGAAAGAAAAGTAAATCTTTACCAAGTTTAATACAAAGAAAAGATGAATTGTAATCTGGAAATCTTCTCATTGGCATTTTATTATAAGAAATGTTCAGATTTAAACAATACTAGTGCTAATTAATTAATATATGCTAATAAAGATTAAAGGTATTAACCTACAAAATACTTTTTAATAATGAAATATTTTTTCTCCTAACAAATGTTACATACAATCTTATTAATTACTATTTGAATATGTAAAGAAAATACTTAAATTCTGTCAGAAGACAAAGGCTCATTAATGGGTGCAACTAAAATGAAGCAATTTATCTCTGCAATGAAGGTTCATGTTACATGTTCACTAAAGTAAAAATCAATTTCTAAATTGAACACACTTTTCAGAGAGAAAATAGTGACTTACGGATCATCATCATTTGCAATTGACATCAATTCATTAACAATGAAGTAGTATGCATATTCGTGATTTTGCATCATTGAGTCAAAAAATACAAGATCACAATTCGATACTTCATCTTTTCTGCAAAATTTTGACGACATTTCAGTAATGAAATGTCGAATATTCCATCCACACCGGAATCTGTGCATGAATTCATCCCTCCACAAAAATGATCTGTCAGAATCATATACATCTTGAAGGTTAGGCCACCTGAAACAAACGCAACATTTAAATATCAGGCGTTTCATAACATTAGAAATAGATTTTCAGTTCTAAAAAAATGTTTTGACTTTTTCGCATCACGTCTGCATGCTGCTTGGCAAAGATTTAATGATAGTTGAAGTAACGTCAATCTGTAATGGAAACAAAATACTTACTGTTGTTGAAACTTCGATTTCCATAATTTATTACTACTGCACACCAAATTCCTGAATTTGCTACAAGTTGTACCGAAATTACAAATGTCTTTAAAAGTCAGAAAGGGAGTTTCCAGTATTTGTTCTATGATTTCATTTGGCAGGTAACTGATAAGGACGTCTCCGGCCATCGCGAGCAATATAACTACCACGGATTAAGATTCTAAATGATATCTCACTTCATACAAAATACACGAATCTTCGGGATATTGACACACAATCACATCCAAAAAGCACAACACCAATTACACCAGTGACTGACCAGCGATCACCCACCCATCGGTGCCCGTTTGTCACATCCGTCACATCTCATCTCCTGCCAACTCCCACCATGCAACAATGGAATTACAAACAAATCTCGATCTAATGGAGATGTTTGGCTTCGGAAAGTGAGTCTTGTATTGCTTTACAATACAACTTAAATTAATAAGAAATGCAACAATCAAGTTCTTTATTTTCAGCTATTTAGTGCACGTAAAATTATAGTTGTAAAAAGAGAAAAAAGCTCTAGCCTACTTCGCATGGCGATCTTCTGCTGTCACGAAGTAGCAACTGAAACGCCTACAATCTGTCGCGGGATGCGGTTGTCACAATTACTTCATGTGCTTCGGATGTTTTTAATCTTTTTGTAATTTTATCATTAGATAACGGTCACACAGGCGAGCCTAAGAATCAAGAATTGAAACACAGTCAATTAAGTCTAAATTAGGAGTAAAACAACGTGCATTTTATATTTATTTTGGGATTGAGAATGGCTTTCAATTTATTTTGGGATTGCGAATTCCAGTTCATTTTCTAGATAGTGTTCATCAAAGAAATACGAATATTATAAAGTTTTGATGGAAATTAACATGAAGACTGAAGTCAGTAGGCTCTTGTTTTGCTCGTATTTGATTAGTTTAAAATGGGAACGAAAATCTTCCCTTTAATTTTTCACTATACTCAGGGAAATTGCCGATTTTCCTAAAACATATTTTCAATTGGTTTAATGTTAAATTTTACAGGTTAAATGTTAATGGTTGTTTGTCAACGAAGTAGAATATTTAGATTTTATATATTTCATCTACGTCAATTTCTTAACAGATATTTTGACCCTGAAACAAAATTTTAAAAGAAAACTTTATTTCCCTTTTTATGTAAGAATATAATCAATTTGGAAATGAAGTGCTGGGCCTCTATAAATTGTCAACTCAGTCCGGATCTGTTCCGTTGACCGTAGGTAGAAGAGCCATGCTTACAAACCAGTCATTTAGGGATCCCCGTCGTCTGTGGAGTAAGTTTGATGAGGACGGCCTGGATCAGTGTCCTCTACTGCCCT